AAAGTGTCATTAGCCCAGTATATAACCATGAGGCGTATGACAAAGAAATTAAATATAGGCTACAAATAGCACAACAAAGAGCTAAGAAGTTAGTACAAGAAACTTTTAGGTATATTAAAAAATATTTAATTTTCGTTTTTTTAAGTTTAACAAATTTTCCAGGTTTTATTTTATTGAATATTGAAAACTGAATGAATGAATATAAAAATTTTCAACTCAAAATTGATCGTACATAAATAAATGTAACAAGATATTTTCATAATTCAAAGTATTTTAAGAACAAGTGTTTAACAAGTAATGTGTATCACTACAAAACCAAGGAAAAACAAAAAAATCAATTATGATATAAATAGCTACAGTAAGGAAATAAATATAGGAGATTTAGTATTAGTTAAAGATGAAGCAGGTCATAAGTTAGATAGTAAGTATAAAGGATCCTATAGAGTAAAGAACATTGACAAAAATAACAATTTTACTGTAGTTCATCATAGAATAGAAAGTAACGATAGAAAAAATAAAGATAAGGAAATAATAGTTCACAAGAATAGGCTTAAAATACTATGACTTTAAATCAATAATATCAAACACTTAAATAAACAAAAACATTCCAATTTACTTATAATTCTTACGAGTACTAAGTACTCACAACAAAAAAAATTAATTTAATTTTTTAAAAATGTAAAGAATGATAAACAAAGTCAGCATAATAGGTACATATGTACGTAAACAAACAAAAATAAAAAAAAACTACATAAACCAACAAAATTTTTTTTGCGACATCAAGTTACCATTATGTCATAACTTGGAAAGACAATTGAAATTCAGTAAAGAATAGCCATGGATCATTGGTGCACAAATTATCCATGGCCATTCTCAAAAAAATGGGAGGTGTAACATGCATTTGAAATCCGTTTCACTTTCACTATATCCCATTGTCCAATATACATATACATATATACACATATGCAGACCACACCCGCAGCAAATTATTAATAACCCATATATTCATTTGAACTCAGCTTGA